CATCCATCCATCCATCCATCCATCCATCCATCCATCCATCCATCCATCCGTCATCCATCCATCCATCCATCTGTCTGTCCCTTTCTTCCATTGTATGAAACCTTCAGTCTGTTTTTTCCATGTAAACCTGGATAACCTCTGAGTTTATTGGCATTTCCTTTTCATTGTTAATAACTATCTGAAGTCGGACCCACTGATTCTTTCTAGTCTTGTGTTTTGTATTATAAGGTGACAAAGACATTCCTTCCTGATTTTTCTTTATTGTATTTCTATGGAAGGTTTAACCTCTGCTCCTGAAAGAGAAGCTTTTCCACACCCCACTGGTGACATCAGTCTATCCTGACATGTTATTACTGTTTGGATAAAAACTGATTTATTTCCCAGTGGTTCAGCCGGCACGCTCACAATGCTGGCAACGCTTCAACACTCACAGCTCTGAATATTGTTTTTTTTTTTTTTACTTCTGTTGTCCTTTCTTCGCAGTGATTAGTCCGTCACGCTGCTACCAGAACTGGCCTTATCAGCATCCGTACAGATGTATGACAAATCTTTAAAGAAAACACCCTGAATAAACCAGTGAAAGCAGAATGCTTCCAGGGCCAGAGTGGTCACTGAACGGTTTGATCGGTTGAAAATGAGACGGGATTAAGGGCGAGGTTATCCTGGAGGAACTCAATTCCCCTTCACTGGGTTAATTCAGTTGTTTTGTTTTTTCCACTTTCAGATGTGTGTCAAGAAGATTGTCTATTCAATGCCGTGTGTGTGGTGGAAAAGGTCGGTGCCCGCTGCTCCTGTGATCCCATCGAATGCGACGCCACCTACAAGCCACTGTGCGTCAAGGATGGACGCACTTTCTCCAATGACTGCCACCGACGCAAGGCGGAGTGCATGGGCAAGAACCTCCTCCCCATCAAGCACTACGGGCCCTGTGGTGAGTGGACCTGAGGGACCGGAAAAAAGGACTACCTGTTTCTCTGGTTGAGTGTTTGCAGGATGTTTTCTGTCTGTATCTTCCAGGCTGACTGCCTGTCCGAATCTGAAATGCTTAGCTGACTGTCTCCAAAGATTGGAGGGGTTCTACATTGTAAACTAGAATATGTATGCATTCCTTTGAAAAAGAAGTGCCTTCACCTCCCATCCATCTCCTCACTCTGTCACGCTTCATTCCTCCAGCTCAGACACAAGCAAACCGAAACGCCACCTTCATCTTTCATTCATCCGCTCCCCGTCTCTTGACTCTCCCGCTGCTGAGGCTTTTTGCTCTTCCTGTTCCTGTCGTTGTGTCTTGTATAAAAATATCCTCTCTTGTTTCAGTGCGTCAGTCTGTCTTTCTGTCTGTGTGACCGTCCTCTGGGCTGCAGGTGGACCGCGGGGTCAGCCAGCGGGCGACCTCATCAGGCGGATTCTGAGGGGTGAAGCCCTCCCCCTCGCTCCGTGGGGACCTAACAGCAGGGGGTCTTGTACTGTTTCCTTTTTTTCCTCTCACTCCACCTGCCTCTTGTGTCCATTTGTGTCATTAATGTCTTTTCCCTATGTTTACCCTCCTACAAAGACGTGACCCGTGAGGTTGGAGAAGCCTTCCCTGTTCTTGCTCTCTCTCCATGTCTCTGATTTCCTAACAGAGAAGAGCTTTTTTTCCTTTTTTTCTGCTGCTGCCCTCTGACTCTCTCATTCCTGCATGCTGTATTGCACATCAGCTCCTCGACTCGCTGCTACCATAGAGCCCTCTTTTCCATCACTAGAACTGTGTAATAAACGCTACCAGCTGCTGAATCGATGCATGACTCTAAGTTTTACCATCTGGGTTAGATTTTAGCTCTTAGGTGAAGATAACTAATCTTTGATTAGGATTTCAAGATGTTCGTCCAGTGGCCTCACAAATGACAACGGATTTAACGCGGTAGATTTCCGTAAATGTGTGCAGGAGCTACATTGATGTTGCATATAAAGGGTGCATCTGAGACCTTGAATTCATTCATCAATATTCAGGCCTACAGGAATTCTGACTGCTTCTACATACATTGTGAAATAACTGCAAGCTCTCGGGAATGCAAAGATTTCCAGGATGGCGCTATGATAGGATAGGACAGCAGCCAATATCTAAAAGCCATTTCATTATTATTCCATTATTATTCCACTTCCTTTAGTTGTGTTATAAAATAGCAGAATTGAGTGGAAAAGGCAGCATTTCAGCCACAAAGATGGCTCACAGCTCAGAGCATCAAACTTTTTGTGTACTCGATATTCGGCCCATAAGCACTCCTTGGAAAAAGGTTTGTAAACTGCAAAAACGATCTAAAAATAAGTACAAATTTCTTAAACTAATGGATTTAACCTTAATTTGAGCAGGTAAAGAAGATGATTTGCCAATGAAATTTGTTTTTTTTTCTCTCTTAAGATAAGATAATTAGATAACATGCACTTGAAATAAGAGAATACTGTTGTTTTTTGTGTTATTTTTAATGTAAAATGTCTTCTTCATTTGGCAAAGTATCTCACTTATCTCCTCATTTCAAGAACAAATTACTTAATTAGATTTCAGTATTTTTTTAGTGTAAAACATGGATGATTGAGTCCTGCTCTGCAAAGAATGTCCATCTTGCTAGTTCCTACCATTTTAGATCTAGCCATAATATATATTTTTTTATGTTGTTTTTAGATTGATATACTAACCAAGCAGACTCTGTTATTAACTATTATTAATCTTCTTTTAAGAAAATGATTCTCTGCAATAATCAGCCAGTACAGGAAGACAATTGCATGTAGTAATACTTCTTGAAATCATGTAATATATTTTCAAAAGAAGATTAAACATAATTAAATGAATAGACTGACCTAGAAGAGAGACTGGGATCCAGTCCTGCTTGTCCAACATCAATGTCTGACCCCACAAATGGTTAACTAATTTCCATTAACATGCTCCTAGACCCTATTTATTTTTAAATATGTCAGAGTTGGTCCTCCATACTGCTGGTCAACATGGGATGGTCAAGTTCATATATGCACTGCAAAAAAAATCTAGAAATAAGTCAAAATGTCTTAAATTAAGTGTCTTTATTCCGAATTTGAGCAGGTAAATAAGATGATCTGACAAAGGAATGAGGATTTTTACTCTTAAAACAAAATAATTAGATGATATGCACTAGAAATCAGCCAATGCCATTGTTTTTTTCTTATTTTATATGTAAATTGTCTTGTTCCACTGGCAAAGTGTCAAACTTACCTCCTTATTTCAAGAAATAATGCAATTTTTTAAAGAAAAAATGACTTATATAGATTTATATTTTTCGCTGTGTGTTTGAAGGTTTCTAAGTAACCATCAGAAACAGAAAAGGATTATTTTTTTCTTATTAAAGTTAGATGAGGTATTTGCCCAATGGTTTGTTTTAAACGGTTTGTTTTTCATGTGGGCCAGGATTTGGAGTTTTTCTATTTGTATCTCATTCTAAATTATTCCAACCTTGCTAGAAAATAGCAAGTATTTTTTTAAATAGTGGTTTAATATTTCAGTAATTTTGGTCAGTTTTCCCAATAAAGGTGCACTTTTAACACACAGAAGAAGGCTTTAAAAAGAAATTAGTTTTCCAAAGGGTGGCATCCTTTGGAAAAATCTTGGTTTTCACAGCCCAAGAAGGAGGGTGTATGAATTTTATTATTCTCTCTAAGTTGGAATCCGCCTCACATGTATCTGACTGTGTCCAGAATATATCCAACCAAGATGAAAGTAACCCTCAGGTCAGCAGAAAGAAGTTTGAAGCAGAGACTCCAGCCTTACAGTTCACACGTTCACAGTCTCTGAAACAGCTCTGGGTGGTTTGCTTTTACACTTGAACCTTGTCTCACCGGCTTCTGTCAGATATTTAACTGGGAGGTTGGGAGGAAACCCCCCCGACCAGAAGCCCAGAGCAGCCTCAGCCAACATTTGCATTCTTGCTTGCCACTTTTCCAGAACGTCTCTGGTAGAAATGATCCCAGCACAGCAGCGGAAAACAAAAATCTGTTTTCCGTCCATAAATAGTCAGATTTGCTGCGGGGAGCCTCACAGCTTTTCAGATTTGGATATGCAAGCTAAGTGCTCTCAGGTAATCCCAACAGCAGAAAACTGGTATTATTGTTGTCAACAACTAATATCTATAAAGATGACAATGTTGGCTAGCAATCTTCAGATTTTTTTGATTTTTGTTTATCTGCAGACTTAAATTCACTTGAAATTCCTCTGATAACTTTAAAGGAAACTGCTAAACCGTGTTCAATTTCCCTCCCCCCTCTCTCTTATATTTCCTTTCCTGTCAGCCCACTATACAAAAAAAACAAGCCTCTAGTTCTTTAAAATCCTCCAAAAAACAAAACAAAAAAGGAATTATTTTAATATCTGTTTAGATCAATTTTAAATCAGTTTTTAAGAACAGATAAAGTTAATATAGAAAGCTTGTTTCCATTTCCTCCCACTCTCTCTACTCTTGTTGCATCAAGGTCGTTGACCTTTACCTCCTGGATGAGACGCTGACGTGCTCTTTCAGTAATTTTGGTGGCCCTTCAAATAAAAGTTCACCACTCTCCTAGGTTACCTCCATCATTTCATTGGTAATAAAGGTTCAATATGGCCGAACATTATATCAGGATTTATTTCTCGATTTTGGTTAATATGATACAGTTCAATAATAAATTATATGAATATTTATAAATCTTTCAGGAATTCACCATAACGGAAGCCTGTGTGGATTAATTAAAGATATTTTACCACTTCTTAAAGACCCAACATAATCATTTTAACAATAATTATTATAATAATTATAAAAAAAAAACATCTTAGTATTTTGCAGCCAAAGGCTTAACAGATTAAATGTATTTAAAACCTGATGATTATCTCACTCCTTATATTCTCTTTTAGAGGCTCTTCATCATTGCCTCTTTTTTTTTGTTTAACTATCATATTTTCAGAACAGACACACCTAAAAATGAAAGATTATTTTCACCTGTCACTATATTAAAGTATCAAAACATCTATAAATAGCTCTGAGAATATAAAATAAAGCCCCCTGATCAATTCTAAAGTATTCTTGATAAATCCTTATTGGCACTGTAGGCAGCGCTTCACCATTTTTTCTTTTTCAATGCAAAAAATGAAATCTAAATGAGTAATGTTTTCTTAAAATAAGGAATATTTTTCTTGATTTGAGGAGGTAAGTGAGACACTTTGCCAATGGAACAAGAAAATTTACATTCAAGATAAGAAAGAACAATTGCATTGTCTTATTTCAAGTGCATATTATTGAATTCTTTTATTTAAAAAGTAAATGTAGTCGTTTCATTGGCAAATTATCTTACACTAGAAAAAATCAAAATCTAGATGTCAGTTTTTCTTAAAATAAGTGCATCTGTTGTTGAATTGAGGAGATAAGAGACATTTTGCCAATGGAACAAGACCATTTAGATTTAAAATAAGAAAACACAATTACATTTTCTTATTTCATATTATTTGCATATTATCTAATTATCTTATTTTAAGAGCGAAAACACTCATTCCATTGGCAAATTATCTCATTTACGTACTCAAATTAGGGGTAAATACACTAAATTTAAGTAATTTGCTTATTTCTAGATCATTTGTGCAGTGTGTAAATCATCTCGTAACCCCTCCCCCTACTCCAGTCCTGACCTTTCATTCAACAGTTTCTCAGAGAAAGTTCAGTTTATCTTGTTTACTTCTCAAACAGATCTAAGCCCTATTTCTTACCTGTGCACAGTGAACCCTAACAACACGAGTAACGCTCCATGGCTCGAACCAAACCTTTATCACAGCGAGGCTCAGCTCAGATAAAACAAAATCAGTCAGTTCACACATCCCATAATGTCACAGAACGGCTACCTGTCGGGAGCGACAGGCTCAGAATCTGCTGTTCTACTTAAAGGCTGCGCAGTGAGTTCAGC